AGACAAAAAGCACAGCATAAGCTGCTGCGGTTAACAATCGGCGCGCGATGCTGAACGGCGCACTTATCGGTGGGGTGGCGGAGGATAAAAGCTAGCACATTGGCGAGAATAAAAATTATCAGATGCTTGGGATGCTTAAGTGCGTGCCAGGCGCTAAGTGGGCAAAGCAAAACGAAAACCAAAAGCGTTACATGAAATAACTGCCGCGAAATAAATGTGTGTTTGTATGTGCTTAAATAAATGTATTTATTTTGCGCGCGATGCGGAGCTTTAAGTGGTTTTCAAGATATTTTCATATTTATAAAAGCGCTGCTCGAGTGTATGATAAATAGTGCGTAAGCGAAACTTAACTTCACAGACATCGTTTGTACTCAACTATTAACAATACTTGCTTTTATCGCAACCAGCGCGTTATGCCAACCAGTTCTTTTCACCAGCGCTGCGCTTAATCTCGACAAACAAAAGTGAAATCGATTTCGAGCTCTCAAATCAACATCGTTAGGCGCGCCTTATTATGACAATCGCAAGCACACAACAATAACTAAAAAATTAACAACAAGAAGCGCAACTAACAAACACTACACACATACTAACTCACACACAACACACATACATATTTGGCAAATAATAATAAAGTGGAGCAATACTTATAAATAGCCGCAAACCAAAAGGACATCAACTGCCAACCGCAAGCAGTGAATGACGCGACATCGGCGATCTCACCACCACCACCACCACCAAGCGCCATTGGCGGCATGCTTTCGCTATTTTCGGCGAAATATAATGACATATTTCAGGCGCCTTGGCAGTCGCAATGCATCATTTACCGAACGCAATCACCGTCACCATTTATGGGCTATAGCGCAGCGAGCTTGGTGCGGTAAGCGCACAAAGCGGCGTCACAACAATGGCCTGACCTTGCCGTCGATGTTGCCAAAAATGTTTACTGAATCGCAAACAGGCAATCAACAACAGACAACGCCACACACTCGCCCACACAAAATGAAGCATTACTCACGCTCCACACACATACATATGGACACATGAACTTTCCAACGCCATCCTTACAATTGATTAATGATACAGCTCGGCTGCCTATGTCCTTTACTGTCAGCCATCCACTTACCTAAACGCAATGTTACTTATTATTATGATGTAATCGTGTGTGTTGTTGTTGTTGCAGTTGCTGTTGTCTAATACTTCTTGTCAAACCGGATTTCTTTGTTAATGTGTTTCCTGTTTTCTTATATGCCAGTGTTGTTTTGCCTGCCGTTTTTTCCTTTTTCTCTCATCGTTTTGTTGTCATTTTAGTTTCGTCACATTACACGCCACTTCAGTTAATAACAACAACAGCAAATACCACATACTAGACCAACAAACCAAATAGGCTCGTAACGCAATGCAAACATGAGCGAATGAATTTTGTTTATTTTAAACATACTCCATTTATCTTGTGGGAATTTCGTTTGCCCTCACACATTGTCCCTTCTCAAATTTTAGCTCGTTTCTTATACATCAATTTGTAGGCTGCGCGTACGACAGTGGTCCCTGGATGTGTTGAATTTAGGCTTCTAAGCAAGTCGGAAAAGTTACTTCATAGTAACGAATTTAATGGAGTAAGGCTTTGAGGTTTAAGAAATTTGAACTAAAACAAGTTTGTACATTTTCACTATTACTTAAGCTTCGCAAATTATCTGTGGAATGAAGTTTTGGGATGCGTTTGATTAGTTTTCCAAATTGCTTTTCTTTCTCAGCGCGAAAAACTAGCGCAAACAATAAAAATGTGTCGTGAAGTGAGATATATTTAACTAAGAGTCCTCTAACAAAATCGCTAAATTTTTCCCTTTCTTTCGTGTAAAATAATGAAAATGCACCTAATTGTAGCCAACGTTTTTTATGCCTACTAGTGACACCAGGATATTTTATTGTACATATGCAAACATAGATAGCGTGCAAGAAATAGATAGCATACATTTAGAGTAATGAAAAAATCTTCATCCTCTTTGAAAATTTCTGTGTAACCCGTTTAATTGTTTACAAAACAAGAAAATACGTTAACTTCGGCTGAATCAAAACTAGAAAACCCTTGACAGCTGCTTTTCAATCTGAATGGCAGCTACATATATACTATAGTGGCGATCTAAATAATTGTTTGGAGATTGTACGTTTGTATTGACTAACGATCAGTTGGTATGGCAGCTATATGCTATATGGGTCCGATATGGACAATTTGCATACAAATTGTAGCTTCACCTCGACCAATAATTTACGTCAACTTTCGTGAGATATTTGTGTAAAATAGAAATGTTTCCATACACAAACTTTTTCGATCGGTCAGTTTAAGTATATGGCAGTTATATCATGTCAGCGGTTGCGACAAATAACCGTTTTTTTGCGGAGAAAGGAAGTATGCAAAATTTCTGATCAATATCTTAAAAACTAGTTCCTCAGCTATAGCTTCGATTATATACAGATGGATAGACAGACGGTCATGGCTAAATCGACTCAGCTCGTAACGCATTTCTCAGGGTCTTGTCGTTTTCTTCTGGATATTACAAACTTCATGGCAAACTTAATATACTCTCTTCAGGGTTTAAAAATGAAACAAAATCGTTTTGGTATACCATAGATCCCGAAATTATTTTTATTAGCAAATAGCGAAATTTCACATCACCAATTAATTCTTGGGCGAATATTAAGCTCAAGACTTGTCCAATGGTCTATGGTATTTGCGATCTGCCTTCAAAGTACAGTTTTTCATTCGAAAATTAATTGTCGGCCGCTTTCGAAAGCTAATGGATTTATAAAAAAAAAAAAAAACAAATGTGACA